AGTGAAATACAGATAAATTAGTGATTATTTAAAGGATGCTAACTGTTTAAAAATATTAGATATATCTTTCAGTGGTTTATTCAGTAAATTTAATAATACTGAAAAACTTATACAATAAAGAAGCCAACAAGCTTATGAGACGTTATGGAGTAAATTGAAAGGGATTCTAATCGTCAGTCCAAATTTGACTTCCAAAAGATTGCCTTGAGCCAGATTTTGCAAGACTTTGACGTATACAATCTAATTTTACACCAAGTAATAAATATAAGATGTTGAAAACCCTGACATGTTGACATCATTTAATATTCTCCTTGTTTGGAGATTTCTACTTTTGAATCTACAGCTTTCGTTTTTCCCTAACCATTTATAAGACTTCAGCTATAGAAGAACTGTTATTTGCCTAAGAATACATGAAAAATATTTATTAAGCTTCTGTGTTTGAAACAATTTAGTTGTAGAGTGTTGAAAACCCCTAAATGGCACTACAATTTTTTTATTTGTTAAGGTTAATTATATTTCATTTAACATAATACTTGTTATACATTTTTTTCTATTAAAATAGTTAAAGATGGTTTAATTAAGTGAAAGTTTAAATACCAACCGAACAGACGGTTATTTAGTTGACCATTGTTCTCATTTGTAATTATTTCAGTAAGTAAACGTACACAAAAGAGTTTATGGTAAACAAAGCACTTTTACATTCCATCATTTTAAGTAGACCTAATACTTTTTTACCAATTGGATTTAACAAACTACAGGAGTTTAAGCTATAGTTTTCAATTCTATTTAGGATCATTTATCTCTGAGCTTTAAAATAATGTAACTCAACAATATCTTTAGATGTTTTACTATAAACATTTATTTAAACTGATGCAACTTGTAGTAAACCTAAAATAAAAATAAAAAAAAACAGAATAACAATTAAAAAAAAACAGAACAACAACAAAAAACAGAATAAAGTTTAATAACAATATTAAAAAAAGTTGTAAAGAATCTAAAAAAAACTGATAAAGACATTTTATATAAATATTGAAATATGAACCTCTATAGGAAATTGTTGACAATAATATTCAAAAACAATTAATACGTATAAGACTCTCCCTTAACATTAACCGTAAACCCTTAATTTTTACACTTATGACTATTTTATGCCATTAATAACAGTCATTTTACCATAGAGTAGAAGCCTGAAGTGGTAAATCTTTTTTGTTAATTAAAAAATAGCCACATGTTATATTTAGGTCTGTGATTTCTAGAAATCTAAATTATTTGTTATATGGATTGTTAGCCTTTTTGCAGTATTTTAGAAGTTTCTTGCAAAATATTTTGCCACCGTGTGAGACATCTACATGGAGAAATTATATTTACGTAGCGAAATATTTTTGATAAAACTTCAAAAATCATGCAATCCGATAATTCAATTTTCTAGTTCTTGCCACTGGGAAAATAACTAAATCGTAACTTTTACATATGTGTTGAAAAAATATTTTATAAGAGCCTATTTTAGAGCAGTTGCGAAATAAATTTCGTTAGTTACATTAACATTTTTGACGGAAAGTGATGAAGTACCTCTTAGTAAATTACGTTTATCGCCAAATGTTAATTATTCAAAAGATTACGTCCATTAATATTTTATTATAATTTATTGGGTTTAGTTTTCGTGTCATTGGCAGCAGAATTGGTATATAAAACCTCGAGTGAGTAAGAATTTGTATTAAATATGTATAAACTTTCCACTAAACAAAAAGCAACCATCATTGCAGCTGCTTCGGATGATTTCCTTAATAAATCTTGAATGTGTTATATTAACAGAAAACGTTCAAGAAAGTTCTGTTGTGCGCCAGTCACGTATGAAAGGAAACTTCAGTTCAAGCAATCTAAAGTTGGAAATATCAAATGTTAAATCATAAATCTTTCTGTATGGCGGAGAACGTTCTGGATTTAATTCTCGTTTACGTGATATTCAAAATATAGTTTAATATAACGTATTGTATCTACTGTGGGTATATTGGATATATTGTTGATAAATTTATAGGAAGGGAACACACTACAATTAAGAAGTAAAAAGCTATAAACAAATTCTATTCACGTAATGTTTTGGAACTCCAATTAAGAAAGTGAATGGATTTAAGGTAAAAGAGGAAGTAAGGCAAGCCTGTGCTAAAATTATTTCAAGAGGGGATTTATCTTTCTTCCTTGTGTCACATTTCTCATTTCCTTAATCTGCGTCTTTGAGTTTACATAATGGAAAATAATCTTTGTCATCAAATCTAATATATTAAACAAATTTGGTTTTTCTTTTCCGAGTTAGATTGGCTCTTCTACCCGGCCAAATTTCATGATTGAGGTCTCGAATTGAAAGTATGCACGTACAGACTTCACATAAAGCATCAACATATATTTATCCACATCCCACTCGGCTAAATGTAAACAAAATTTGCTCCCCATCTTTTCCTTATTGAAGTTAAATTTTGTTTTTCTTTTCCGAGTTCGTTTAGCTCTTCTACCCGACCCACTTTCATGAATGATGTCTCAAATAAAAGGTATGCACGCATATATTTCACATCAAGCATCGACATATATTAATCTACTGTGTTACTCGACCAAAAACATAAATTTGATTTATTTTACAATTCTCACTTAAATTTAGGATGTATTTCAACAGTTATAATTATATAATCCTATATACTTTGGTCTAAGAACCTTAAGTGAAATACCGGCATTCATTTAACCTAATGGTTATTCAAATCAGACGAGTTTCAAGCAAATTTAGTGAACATCCATCATACAAAATACTTTTTATAAGACTTTGTTATGATTAATAATCAATAGTTGTAGTATTGTTTATGTATTTATATGTTTTAGACTACTCAACTTCAAGATACTGTATTACTCAATCGAAAATCATAAATTGTATTATTTCTCGGATATGATGTTTATTTCAAAGCTGCGGAGCAGCATGGGTCCTCTAGTAAAATAATAAAATCATGTTATTAAATCAGATGATTTTATTTTTTAATGTGTATTTTTATGAAAAACTTATACATTTATTTGGTATTTATTACTTAAACGTAATTTTCAAAAATAACAAAATACTAAATAATTAACGTCTTACTAAGTGAGTGTTTAAACTTGTAATCTTAGAATTAGTGTTTTAGTTTTATTCATTCCTCAATTTAAAACTTCTTATAACACTGTTGAAATCCTAGAATACTTTAATAATTCATTTATTGTTTTGTAATAAGCAAAATCGTTATAAAGTAAAGCTGTTTTTTTTCTACCAAAAACTACTATTTGATGATTTACATACAAAAATCTGATTGTTTGAAAAATATGTGACAAAAATCATATAAACAAGCCTAATTCTACTAATTATTAACCCAAAAAATATAACGTAAATCTAATAATTTGTCAAAAGTTTAAAAAAAAGAATTGGATATTTTATTGTTTTCTTTAATCGTCAAATTCACCTCAATCAAGTTCAAGGTATTTACTTACTCAGTTTTCCTATTCCCTAATTTTCAACAGTAGGCCTAACTCCCTTCCACTTAACGCTTCATAGCTGCAAGCTGTCAAGTGTAATAATATGCTACAATCTGTAGTACATTGTGTTGTATCGTGAACAGGAAACCCATTTTGTTCTGCATGTGGTTAAAATATTAAATAAATAGTGGTTATATTTATCTATGACAACTCTGTGTTATGTATAAAAGACATATCTCAATTGTACAGGGGAAAATATTAAAAGGTATTTAAATACTAATTTCTTAGGAAATGGGATTTTTTTGTAAATATTCAACAAATAAAAATGTTACCTTGTGCTAAAAAGCAACACTAACGTATTTTGAGTATTTTACCCCCCCCCCCCCACCCTAAATCCCAATGCGATATTATGTAGCTTCAGAATCTCATGTTATTTCTACTAACTGATATTTGATAACAGTTGAATTTTTAGTCACCAAAGCATATTTAACCACTTTATTGGTAACTGGTAATATCATATTTACTTTATAAGCCTAAGATACAAAATAATTTACTAACTCTAATTACTTAAAAAAGAAAAAATTTCAAAACGTAAAAACATTATTTTATTTATTTAACATTTTTTTATAAATACATTACATTACAAGTACATTTTAATTGTAAATACATTCTCGCTATTTTATTTATAATTATGCATTAGCCATGCAAACATTTATCTTAGCTTTACTTTTCATATCACAGACATTTGGAATAAATAAAATAATTATTTACATGTTAACTATGTTTTAAACATAAAAACAGTATAAGTAAAATCCAAAGCTTAAATGTTATTATTTTTTACAAAGAATGTAGCTTCACTTTAATTACATGTAATTTGGATTTACTGTTTTTAAGATGTTTACCAGCCAAAGGATGTGAAAACATTTATCATTATGAAAAATTTATCTATTCTATGAAATATTCGCTCGTTTTTTTTACTACACTATGGACGAATTCTAATGTAGGAGAGTTTTCTTTTGTTTGCCAAATAATTTTCAAACAAAAATTACTTACCATACATGAAAATGAACTAGTAGCTTATAAATGTGCAATTTCTATACGAATTTATAGTCATCATATAAAAGTGTGAAAAAGTAATCTTATTTAAAATATTTACTACTTATAAAAATAAGTATGGCCTCGAGCATTAACACTTTTATAGCAATCCTGTATTACTAAGCTTTTACGAGTAAATATAAGACAAAATGTTGGTTAGAGAGAAGGAATTTACCAACACCTTCAAACAAAGCACGTTTGCAGCCATAGACTTTACTTCATCGTTGATGAAACTAATTAGTTTCTAATCCATGGAATCCCTCTACAATAGGTCAGGGACGTTAATTAAATATCAACAGCACATATGACGGATAATATAACATTATGTCAATCAATATTGTAGCTTCTAAGGTGCCAAATTCTTATAAAATCTATTAAATCTCACTGACTTGTTGAAACTGATATGGAAATCGTATTGGGTATTCCCATTCTTTTCCATTCCTGCATTACAAGCTTGTTGTAATAACTTGGCCGTCCTTTACACATGTAGTGTTGGTCAGTTCGTCTCATACAAATGATGTTTTGTGTTCTGTATCTGGAGGCGCCCACTTGGACAACATCTTGGGCTTGAACAACTGACTGAACGTTGTACGGAACTGTTGACTCATTGAGCAGTACAAAATGAAGTTTATAGCACCGTTGATGAGTGCCAGGATGTCCATAAGCTCCCCGAACTGGAAAAACGAGATTTTTAATCAAACTGTAATATAAAGTTAAATTTGAAGAGAAAACAGTGAGTCAACAAAATCATGTCGACAATAGTTATTTGTGCAACTAGTGAGAAAAGTAAGCAATTGACTCACTCGAGAGAAATCCTTATTCACGAGCCGTAGGCGAGTGAGGAATGGTTTCTCGAGTGAGGCAATTGTACTTTGAACTCGAGTTGCACATTATACTTTTCCTACAGTTACCATAAAACAAATAAATTGGTGAAGAAACATAACCTATTTTTACACAGAAGTGAACTTTTAATATAACATTTAATGTGAAGTGACAAATACGACAGTACAACAGCTGACCAGCTGATTTACAGCCAGTGCTGCCAACGTATTTCGCGCGCATACGACGTTGCCTGCATGTTACGCGCTCACTATTTCGTGCCTTCACGTTGCAAATCTGGAGTGAGACAAAGTAATTAGAGTGAGACAATGTTAACATTGTCTCACTGATGAGCGAATTGGACACTTTGCTTTCTCAAATCAGTGAGAGAACATGTACATTGTTAGGTAACTGTAGGAAAAATTAGTTTATACTGGCCTAAATAGTTTATAAAGAAGAAAATATAGTAGTTATAATTTTGAGAATTGACAGATTTAGATAAGGAAACATAGCTATAGAACACAGGCTATACCCAGTTCCTATAATAGTTAATGTTCAACACAAGGGATTCACAGTGATTGAGGATTTAATAAATGTGTCATGATAACTTCAGATTCTAATGCTTTTGAGAACATTTATGACCTTTAATGAGGCAAGATAAATAAAATAAAGTTTTCTTAGCGATTAATGCATCTTATTATTGGATAGTTTTACACTGGAACTTGTCAAACATATATACAATTGTTACTAATTTACTTCAACAGGTCTAGAAGAAGAATGTATAGCTTAATGTGTGTGTAGACAGGCAGTTACTAGTTTAGAGTTAATCTGAAAAACATTTACAAACCTGATGGTAACAGTTTTTGAAGAATTGTCGACCCAAAGTACCAGAGAGTAGACCTAGAACGCCCTGAGGAACTTCTGTGATTAGGAAGAGCAACAACACTGCAACCAACATTCTGGTTGTGCGATCCACTCGTTTCTCTCCCTTGGACCCGTCACCCTTCAGACGTTGTCTTCTCTCGTTCACCTAGTACACACACAAGCTGAAGTACACAATCAGTGTTTTATAGACGATAGGCAAGAAATAATGGATACAAGAATGTAAGAGGGTTAAATCCCTTGAACTTGAAACAAGAACGTCATCACTTACATTACAATTAGTTCGAAAAATAATATCATATTTTCATACAAAGGAGTAAAGGAGTTTTGTTGGATATTTATATACCAGTATATACTCGTCTGTATTTTCACAATAAATTGATTATTTTGATTTTCACCATTGATAGATTTTACTTTGCAGACATGTAGATCGATCTACAGCTGCAACCAACTTTCATTCAAATCGAACAGAACATGAAGGTGCTGATGTCAAAATTAATTTTCCTCTATCATCTATACGATACGAATCGATACCTATTTCGATATCTTTTAGTTGTGAAGTTGAAAATGCTGTAAGATAGTTTACATTTTAACAAAGTAAAAATTGTTAGCAGCACACTTTTTCTACGACTCAACTATTATTTCCATTCAACAACTAAATACTGTACAACCTTAACATAAGAAATTGACATCCACCATGATCCAGTAAAATCTTCAGATTGTATTTACATAATTGACCGAAACATGTTTCATGCATTTCATTAATATTCAAAAACCAACCTCATAAAGCATGGTTATCAAATAGTAGCTGACGATGGTAAGCACCACGCAAGGTATTAGTTTGATGACCACGGCGTAAACCCAGAAGTTGACGTTGTAGAGAAGTTCGTTCCTTTCCCGGGCGAGATCCGAAAGGCCCAAGAAGTAGAGTGTGACGACTTGATGTTTCTCGATTACGTGTGTCGATCTGACGCTGAATACTAGGTAGGAAGGTATACAGATGATAGGAGGCAGGGCGAAGGCAAGAGCTAAAGCCAACGTGCAGTTGTGATCTGAACAGAGCTGCTGGCTCTTCTGTGGATACCTGGGTAAAATAATGAATACACTTATTTAATTAGTTGTACTTGTACATTCATACAGTTTGCATCTACAATTATTATTATCATAATCAATATCATTTGAGATGAGGATGCCAAGTGCGTATTTTAGTGTATAATGGACCTAATATGGATGTAGAATGGAATAAGATTATGTGTAGCTTTGTTACTGACTTAGACTAGCTGTTTCATTGGCCAGAATTATTTATTTAAAACACAATGAACAGGGACAGCTAGGTCCAGACTCAAACTATCGAAAAGCTTTTAGCTTTTATCATAAATCCGGTCACCTTAACAATTTAACAATGAAAAACAGACTTACCTTATGGCAAAATATCTCCAAAGAGCCAGAATTAGAGTCAGACAGATTGAAATAGTGTGAAGAATCTGTGAGAAGTGCATGTGGAATAGAATAAACAACGCTCCAGCATATGAGAAGTCTGGTGACTCGTTGGGGTATCTGAAAAAGATACATCAGTTCTATACAGATCTTCTGTGGCACTTCTTGGTTAGTAACCAAGCCAAGCTGTACTTATCATTGAGAAAAAAAATATGTCTATATATTTAACCTGTCTACATATTTAACAGCCGACTTACCTGAGTCCAACATAACGAGCATTTCAGCTACTGCGATTTTCTGTCTATATTTTTAACAGCTGACTTACCTGACAATGTACATGTAGATGGCGAAGGGTATGTAGTCCAACATGACCAGCATGTCAGCGACCGCGATGGCTGTCAATATATTTAACAACTGACTTACCTGACAATATACATATAGATGGCGAAGGGTATGTAGTCCAACATGACGAGCATGTCAGCTACCGCGATGGCTGTCAATATATTTAACAACTGACTTACCTGACAATATACATATAGATGGCGAAGGGTATGTAGTCCAACATGACGAGCATGTCAGCTACTGCGATAGCTGTCAATATTCTGTTGATGGGAGCTGCCGCCATCTCCTTACGAGTCAACACGACCACATTCAACACGTTGGCGATGGTTCCAAACACACACACCAAGAGCGCTATGTAGCCGTGCAGCTGGCGGTATCTGGTGGACGGATCCCTCAACCAGTAACAAGGGGTCGTCTCTTCTCTAACGTGAAACTAGAAAAATTAAACGGAGTTTCTAGAGTTCTTAATATTGGTATTAACATTTTTTTAATTTTTGACCTTTTTCCTTAGTAAACTTTCAATAATTGTGTTGGCCAATAACACTTTTGAAACTAGAAAATGTTTCAGTTCAATTATCAGTCATTTATTTCATCCATGAATGAACAATGAATCAGGTTGGATTGAAATTAAACAAAAATATGGCGGACATTTTCGGCAAATTTTCCTAATTTGCTCTAAATACATTCTATTGGACTTGTAAGTAAACCGCACAAACCTGTGTGTGGTTAACCGCGAGGCGTTGACTACTCATGTTCATCATGATGGCGAAATCCTCCTCAGTTAGGTTGAGTAAGTTCATCAGTTGCAATGAGGACTCACTGTGGTTACTTAGAAGCAAGTGCAGGTAGTCTGTCATCTTTAATCACAACTCGTAGGACCTTGTTAGAGAATACTTCTTGCGGACTGGCTTTTGACCTCTTTTTGGTATCTGGAGTGGTGCTAAATATTTTTATCACCACTGTCCATAGTTTTTCTAGCAATGTTCTAAACAAATCCTTTAAGTCCATCGGAAGTAATCAACATTGTGTAGTGATTCATACTGTAAAAAGCAATTTTAAAGGTTTAATTTTTATTATTAAATACATAAAAAGTAGATAAAAAGGAAATCAAAGCCCTCTTTATTGTTTCACTTGTAAAAGGAAATGTATAAAATATATTTAAATAAACTAATTATAAAGTAGCATGAGATTATTAAATCCTGTTTTCACAAAATCCAAAAGTTTTAATATTTCTTTACTACTCTATTTGGGTAATGTTAGATTAGGATAATGTTACATGTCTCAATCACAACTGTCTTTACATTATGATATAAAATGATATTGTCATGTATCTTGCTCTATGTTGATGATATTCTCATGGCAGGAATTAAAAGGGAGAAAATCAAGGGAAGTTTACAGAGAAAGTATCTGTATCTATTGGAAGATTTTCACATTTTACTTAAGTTACCAATCCGCATCCTGGAAGATAATCAATCTTGTATACGCCTTCTACAGAAGTGGGAGTATCGCCGATTGAGACATTTGAATATTAAATCACTCTCAAAAATTTTTATTACCATACATACAGAATTTGTATTTCCCTTTGGTGTAAGGAAACCATAAAGCAGAAGTGTTAAACTTGCATAAGGGCTTGGATTACATTGTAAAGATAAACTTTCCTTCATTAGCCTGCGTATTTCCTAACTTTCTCGGCACAACTTTTTGTGGCAAGCTGCAGATAAAAGTGGAAATATGTTCACGTTGCTGGCTACACATCTAGGGGTTCACATGAATATTACTTTAAATAATAAAGTTACGAGTATATAAAACTTTTAATGTAACTTTGCCTAACACAATTATGAAAATATGTTAACAAACGAGAGTTGTGTTTATTTTACATCGGTGTTTTAATGGTAGTTATTTGAGTTGCTACTTTAATTATACAAATTGTAACTTTTTATCACGTTCTTTTACTAACTGGATAACCATTTAGTCCCTAGTATTTAATTTTTAACATTTCATCTTTTACTTGAACAATCTCAGGTATTTTTATTGTTTATACGACATAATTTACGAAAATATTATGAAATCATCTAATTAATTTGCCTTTACGGGGAAAACATATAGCTCAGGGTTTGCTATATGTATATAGAACACATTAGTCTTCCAAGGAACAATCCTTCTTTACATTTGTCACTGATTACATTACAATGTATTGAGATATGATTTAAAATATTTAGATGCCTTATATCTATTAAATTTGAAAAGAAGTATTGATTCATACTAATTGTATAGGTGTGTGCATATTTTATAAATTTAATAACATGATTTTACTAAAGAAAGTCTCTCATTGCCTCACTATTAAAGTAATAAAGTGATAAAATATCGTCCATATTCTCATCATAGACAAACACAATGTGGTTGTATATATATATATATATATATATATATAACAAACTAAAAAAATAATTGCGCTGTTACTACTTTAATACATTTACGACGATTCTCATACTTTTATAAAGAAACTTATGTCACACAGACTAAAACACTGACTGTTACCAATCAATTACTCATCCTACGCAGAAATATAATATAAAGTTTAATTACTCATTAACAATGCCAAAATCATAACTTGCTTAATGTAATCTATTCCAAACAGAAAATTCGTTCATAAGAGAGATTTCGTGATTGCATCCTTATATTACCAAGAACACGATCCTATTGTTCCCATAACGAGAAATGTTGAGTAATACCTATAGTACTGCTTTTCACTGTTAAGAATAAAACCCTACTGATATCTTTTAAATATCCTATACAAAAGACATGATTATATACAAAAACTACCCTACGTTTGCATAGTTATATCCTGCTGATTTTATATACATCATCACTTTGTCGGAAATGAATGTAGTATTGACTTTTTATTGTCACTCCAATGCATTGTGAAGAACTCAATATATCTTGGTTAACTCTAACTTATCCCAGAACCTTACATCGATAAGGTTACTACCATATGTTTTTCTCTGTTTTTCAAGGTACTGTGGTTCTTCACAGAAGATTTTGTTCTTGCACAAAAGAGTCAAGGATTTCTGTTTCATAGATATTTATTATTTTGTATTACAGTAGAAACTTGATAACAAGACTCTCATGGGGATTGTAAAATAAGACTTGTTATCAAGGTTGACTTCTTATCGAGGTTTGTAATAACATGTGATTAGGGGTATAATAATTTTACGGGGATTTGAAAATGACACTTTTTATCAAGGGCGACTTCTTATCGAAGGCCTTCTTATCAAGGTTCCACTGTATTTATATAGATTGTTTATTTTAATATTTTATAACTGCGGTAAAAATAATAAGTAAATAAACTCTTGAAGTGTTTTTGTGATACATTAATCTATAATTTAATAAAAGCATGTTTAGATAAGTAAAATACAATTTTACTGACAGCTCGACTGACAGCTAATTATTCCGTGGGTCTTGAAAGTAGAGAATATATAATTATGTGTATGTTCTTATGTGTGCATTTTAAATTAATTATTCTATATGATTTCCTGTTTGCAATGTTAACAAATTTAAAAATAAAGTGACTAACCTGGCAACAGGCCAAAAGTGTATGCAGAAGATATTGTATAAAACTTTAAAATGAAAAATGCAAGAGTTATTTAACAGTACTGCATATCTTTTATGGATTACGTTTTGGTTGGTAAATAATATATTTTACTATGTACTAGAGACAATAAGCTTATAAAATGCATTTTGTAACAAAACTAAATTCATAAAATTCAAAGAGGGAAAATGTTTGCTTAGTAAATAACTTTTGTGATACACTTACGCATTATGACCTTGTACAATGTGTTCATATTTCTTAATGCTTACAATTTTATACTGTTACCTTACACAAAATCTCCTCATTAAACTAAACCACTTGCAAACAGAATACATTTCCAAGCATGTAAAACCTTCTTACAGTCCTTCGCTGTATGTTTAAAACACAAACCAATAAATTAATCATTCCAACTAACTCATTATTTGTCAACTACGTTCCACACCATATTGTACTGACACTTTGCTCTGGTGACAAAACCACGATCACTCTAAGCTTAGAATAATTGTCCGACCGAACTAAACTAAAGTCAACCCGTAACTGAAGTTGAGGAGCGCTCAGATCCTGCGCGCAAAGTTCATCTCCCCTCCCTTACACTCCTAACTTTCTCGCCCTTTTAATTTTCTCCCTCCCACCTTCATTCTCTCTTTGTGTTCTACAATGTTAAATATTCTGATAAGAAAGTTGTAGCGAAGATAAAGGATGAGTAGAACAATCGAAATTACAGGTTTTTACTGGTTAGCTGGTTTATTGATGTGATTTTGACAACGTGAATGGGATATTAAGCTTGAATTTTACGTTTTAAGCTTAAGGGCTATAAAATCTTGAGTGGACGGGATAAACGTGAATTGAAATAACTCGTTTTGCCAACAAACTGCAGCTGTTGAGTGATTTCAGTTTACAAACAATAACTTAACATTGGATTCTATTTGAATTACAAAAAAATAATAGTCAATAATTTTTATATCCCAAAGAGATATTTATTTTTTTACTGTGTATAAAAAATTAACACGGTATGACGATGATAAGCAAAACGTGTAAAAAAACAAAGGGTAAGATCCTTAGAATAATTTTAATAAGAGTTATTTAAACAGACTACCAGATCGAGGATTTTAGCGTCTTGGTTGCATTTAAATTCGTGTAAATGCCTGCATTCATGCTAAAACTTTGTAGCTACAACTCACATGCACATCGGAGTCATCATTAGGTCCAGCAGACTAGTCTAGATATAATTCCGTCCAACCACGTTGTGTTTCAGTATAATTCTCGTTTACACCCCCAAACTTTCGTTTTTTTCATCGTTGGTATGTTTTATTAATTGTTAATGATGACAACCTTCAAAAGAAGCGGTAACTCATCTAATACCTGCCTATGATGATGACTCCAATGTGAGTTTAAACTCGATCGCATGAATTTAGCAATGTATTTTGCACAATTGTAGTCTTATACAACCAGATTGGTTTCTTAACAATGGATTTTTTTATTTTAACTTTATTCAAAAGAACTCTACAAATAGGTAGCTACTGTATTTTTTTAATTCTAATTTTAATGTTCCAAAGTGTGGAAAGTTAATGTGTGGCAGACATTTTGTCCCATCTTAACATATCTTACGATGTATGGATCTTTAAATTTAAATAATGTACCTAAATACTTTTACTTTAAGGTTCTTTATCAAATATATTTCATCACAAGTAATTTACAAAACACCTTCTCTAACATAGAAATAATTTACGAATTGCATTAATTTTCTAATGGATTTTTAATCCACAGAAGAAGTGATGAATTTGGTGTAATTGCATAAGGTGATTAATATTGTGGTTAAACCACTAATAATTTTGTTTTTATTACAAAATAATCCAATTAATTACCAAAATACTAATTCATTTTAAATAAATATTATAGCTTACGTTTGCATTATTTAAGTATCACTTCGATAAATATTTCCAGTTGGTTTGAGTTAAAATTCGTATATTCTTTACACAAACACGGCTTTGTGAAGGTGAGCGTGTAACACGTTAACATGTAACTGTTTATTAAAGTCTATTGTTGTTATTGACACATAATTGTAAGCTTGCTCAAAATATGCTGTTTCGAAACCAATTTGACACGAGAGTTTGACATTTGCCATTTACATATAGATTGGTGATAAGCGTTCGACTCGATCTTTTCTTGAAAACCTTTATTACCGGTACATTACTCAAACGTTACTGATAATGCAATATTAATATAAGTAACGTTACGTTATATGTATTGAATCATTTAATCAATTAA